TAAAAACTTTATTATATCCAAAGGTAAGAATACAAAATAAAAATCAAGCAATTATTACAATTAAGCAAAACAGTAGTTACCATTAAAATTCAGTGAAAAATCTTCATTTATATAACTGTAAAATATACGTCTTAGTGTAATAATTAGGATATAAATATTCTGATTATTTTTAATAACAATGCAACCGGAAGTTATGACAAGAAAAATATTAATGAAACAAAAATATTTTACAAATATATAATTTGAATTTATTGTATATAATTTTAGTAAAACAAAGTACAAATATAAAACATAATGAAATTATTATAATGAATATTATCAATGATAACACTTTTAATCTGCATAATAGCCTTTTAAAAAATGATAATGGATATATGAAAGTTACTCTAAAGTTTAAGCTAATAGGAGTTACCAGGTAGCTAATTTCGACCGACTATCGCGAATTTTAAACCTGTATATGGTGTATAAGACACATGAGAATTTTAAAAGATATATAAAAATGCAAAAAAAAGTATATGTGCCTTATATGCCGTCAAATACGGTAATTGAAATCTCATTGCTTACCCATCTTATGCATCTGCTATGGATCTAGATATTCTTGACGATATCTAAAGAAGAATCTGTAATGTTATCTGTCCTGAACTGGCTTCGGTGACTTTTTCACCGCATTCACAGGTTCCGTGTGCTTTTGTTAAAAATATTTTTATGTACGTTTTCTGACAAGCTCTCCTTTTTAGTAGCTCGACTTCTCGAATTTAAGCTCTGTATTAAATTGGAAATTAGGCTTCATTTTCCTGCTGAAATTGCTAAGAGTAACCGTAAGTTCGACTCTGATAGAGTCTTCTCTCTCACTTCTCGCCTGTGGAAGTCTCTTGCAGCTTCTTGCTTTCCTGTCAACTACAATCTTCAAATATTTAAATACAACGTCGATCGTTATTTTCTGTCTCCTTGAAACCAGTTCTTTTTATTGACGTTTCTACTCAATAACGTTTTCTCAATTTCCTTCTGTTCCAGTGAGTCCTTGACTTTTTCGTGGTTTTATCGCATTTGCTTGGAGTGAAATGATTTAAAAAATATATATGCAGCTTTTCTTTATACACACGTCGATTCGGTTAAAGAATGCCTGACTTCATTTGTTGT